GAAGACACTGAACTTCGTCAAAAAATTCCACTTCCTATTTGTCAGGCTGTCCTTAAACTATCCCATGTTCCCAAGAAACCTGCAACATCAAAAAGAAAGTTTAAGCACCCCTACTCCTAATACCAATTCAGGAAGGGATTCGGTACTATTCACTTGAATAGCATTCAGTCAGTCAGGGAAACTGAAACAGTAACATATGTGAAACAGCTTGAGTCTTGAGGATGTGAACTATACAGAATTAGTTAACAGAATTTTTCTTTAAACCCACACACTCACCATAACATTCATTTAGTAAATCTGAATCAGAGCTATATTCAATAGCAACACAATCTGCGTGTGAACATTTTGTGAAGAGAAGGACTAAATTCCATGAATCAATAATTTGTTTCAATTGTCCCAGTTCTGTTTACTATCTACACTGTATTTGATGTGTCTTATAAATGTCGGACATCCCCTATTTTAAATCTCTATATAATGCTCTGAGTGAACAAGGCCTGTCTACTTCAATTTCAAAAGAGAATTAAGCATCTCCAGAAGTGTCTCTGAGGCTAAGCTGGACCTTATTAGCTCTGTTGTCAGAAGCTCAGAAACAAAAATAACGTCACCTAAATTTGAGACAAGATGACCTTCATTCAATATATCTCATATTTTACAAAACAACAGTATTTATATCATGTTGGTATCATATATAGTATAGTAGTTAACATTAGTGGAATCATGAAAAATAATTGTTATTACCATTACAACGTCAATATGTTGATTTTTAGTACTGACAGTGATGCTTGAAATATCTACTGTTTACAACATCTGTTCTAGTTAAAGAGATTTGGTAGAATTTGCTAATCAACTGCAACCACTTCCCACCCATAAAACTGATGCAAAGAAGGGAAAAAACAGTTAGTGGGATCCAAAGACAAACACTTTTACTTATAACTCTTTACAGAGAAATCCCTCTCTCTCCATATGGTTTTTTCTTGGCTCTTAATCATCTTTTCATTGGCTTCCAGCTGGCTGTCTCACTATCATCTAGCAATATCACTAGCAAGACCAACTTGTTATGCCAAAGTCAAGCACAGAAAGATAAGAGCTGCAAAGTAGCAAGATGCAGCAACCTTTAATAGGGGCAAACGCAGCATAAATGATGCATGGCAGGGTCACTTCACTTGCCTCAGCAGAGCAACCACTGCTGCATTCCCAAAGCACAGCAGCAGATCTGCGCTTGCACTTTCTAGTAGTGGGAGTGAAAAACTACTACAATTGAAGCTACAGAGAAATTCTGCAGGCAGAAGTGTAATTACCTGAGTGGGAATTCTGGCAGAAAACCCAAACCTCTTTCCCTCCTTAAATAGAACGAAATACTGTGCAGTCACCATGGAGAGATTACGTACAGCTTTTGGATCACATGCAGCACTGAAATACAACACACACACAGAAGAGCCAGCCATGGATCTGGTTTAGCAAAGCACAACTGACAGTCTATTCTCCATTGGCTACAGCCACACAGTCAGTGTGGCTCTCCTTCTTGCCATTTTTCCTTTCCCCATCTTACAAATATTAAGCTCTACATCAAATCTCAGCCCCCACATAAAAGACCAGCTCTGAAAGCTGTTTAGCCTATCTGGGATGTACCTAGAACCTAACATGGAAGACCCAGAGATGAAAACCCTGACAAATTCATCCACTACCATCCAATTAATTTTTCAAATTGGGAATAGAAGAAAACCCCAGGGAAAGAAACATCATATAGTGCCTGTCTGTGAAAGTCTACTTGGATTATCCAAGCAGCCAGTCTTGGAAGTGCAGCAGCTCTTGCATGGTCTGTACGGGCTTAAACTTCAGTCACAGAATTTCTCAGTTTTGGTCCAAGACCTCTGGTTTCCAATCACCTTATGCAGCTAAACCCACCTCCTCCTGTCTCCTCCATACTCCCTCCCTCTGCCCACTTCACAACCCAGCTCATTTTGTCTTTTGCCTCCAGGAGCCTCCAGACTCAGCCTCCGCTGTAGCCCCCCATCTCCTGGGGTGGATTTTTCCCCTCCCAACACATCTCTAGCAGGTACTTTTCCCCTCAGTTCTGCAGCAACACACCAGGGGAGAGTCACCAGAGCATAGGGAAGATGAGCACCCCTTTTCCCCCTTCACACACAGTATGTGCTGGAGTTTTCCAGAGTCCTTTTGGCTTCAAACTCTCCCCCAGATGGTAACTTGTGATCACTAATATTCAAGGCACTTCCAGTATAGCTGCCCAACTATTCATTTCTATTTTCAAAGAGAAATACTGCTGCTCAGAGCCCCTGAAAAATCCACCCTGATGCTTTCTATTGTTTGAAGTGGGTAGGAATGTTGTCAGACTAAAAGTGTCAGAAATTTGCCTCTCTCCAAATCAGCCAAGCCTTGTTTTGCTAATAACTTCAGCCAGCCTCCAAGCCTCAGGAGAGTGCTTTTTATCTGCATTCATGTCGAGCTGATGATGCTACATGGGAATCTTTCACTTACCGAGACCAACAAAGTGTTGCTGTGTATCAGGAATGCCATTCCACAGATAGTCCTTTTCTCACCTCTTTGCAGTAGCTCTCTAATCTAGCAGCATAAATAAGAGATAGTTGTAGGCGGAGAGATGTCCTGTCTCCCATTCAGTTTTCCTAATCATCCTGCAAGCCAAACAGCTTCAGATTTGGGAGTTTTGAAAACAACTCTCCTCATTTAAAAATATACATACATTTCAATTTCCTCTACAGAACACCACCAATATAGAAACAGCTGTTTATGATTTTGCAGTGATTTTCCCCTGGCATGCACATCCCTGTGACTGGCTTTTATTTTCATTCTCACAAGGGAAGGCAGAATGAGACCTGCACTTCTTTCCCCTTCCCACCATTACTAGCCTTCTAACAGATACTTTTTTTTCCTCCAGTTTCAATGTTGTGCTTCACATACGCTCTGTTCTCTGGGCTTTCTTAACGGGAAACATCCTATATTTGTATTTATGAAGTATTATCCTCTATTTTTCGAACATCCTGGTGCTTTGACTGTAGCAAAACTTGCTCATTTTTAACTTTATAATTGATGAAAAGCTGCTAAAATGAGAGGAAGATTTTTCTCTCTTCAATCAGCATCAGCATGAGAGCAGTCTGCTCATGAAAGCCTGTAGCTCTGATTGTTCAAAACATATTGTTCACCATGTCAGTTTAATCTTGTGCTTAAGATATTAAAATATCAGGCTCTAATGTATAAATCCTGTTGAGATCCACAAAGGTTCTTTTCAGAAGAATGAATGAGGGCCATTGTTACATCCTGTGTACTCCTATTTCTTCACACTATCACTTATCTTTCTTTTTATTTGCCAGTAATTGTTTTGTAGAGCATAAATCATAAAGCTTACCTGGGTTTTGATTATGCTACAGCCTATGGCTTTATATTCAATAAATTTTTCTTACTTTGATAACTGACACCGAGTTTCCATTTTATCACCTTATCTGCATTTGAAGGAACAAATAAAAATCCTTTTTTGTAAGGATTAAAATTTCACCTCTTACAATCAAATTTTAGAACTGCACCGTCACAGCAAGTGTTTAATCAGAAATGCAAACAAGCAGCTCAGCCTGTACATCATGTTCCGCCATACATCAAGAAGCAATCACATTTCAGCATTATCACATACAACCTGCAAACATCTGCTAAAGAGAGAAAAAAAAGAAAAAAAAAGAACAGCAACAACAAGCACCAACCCACACAGTAGAAGGTTATTTGACTTGCATTCTGCGTGAATTCAAACTGGACACAAAAATCAGGGCCCTGTCAATTACGGCTGAAAAAAAAGAACATTTCTCTGAGGACACTTGTTTCTCAAGAGACAGTGGATGCACATTTTAGAGTTCCTTGCAGCTCCTGGATATGAGTGCAGGTAGGTACAGTCATATACATGACTTCTGAGCTGGGTAGCAGTGCTAGCTACAACTTGGAAGGCATACAGTAAGCTTAAGACAATGCTTTACACAGTCAAATAAGGCACCCTGAGGCAGGGAAGACCACTTTTCATCTAACTGCCATGCAAATGACTTTCTGCAGCTTTCCAACCAGAACAGCTGAGGGTTAGACTGAAGACAAGAGGAACATGTAGGGCTGCCTGCAACCACCCATCCAGAGTAATCTCTGAGGCAGCAGTCACTCTGCCTCAGTGTTGGGGTTCATTTGATTCTGAAAGTCCACCAGCCTTACTGTGTAAAAGACCAATTTATTTCTTCTAGCAGCTGATGATCTCAGCACAAGTGATCCAAGACATGATCTTCAACTGACAGCACTGCCTTAACATTTCTCTGCCACCTTTTATAACAACCTCCTGGAACTGTAAACCACAGCTGTTTTTTTCTTCTTTTAAATTTCCTACAGAGATCTTCTAGGGATGTAAACAGACTCAAACAGTAATCAAGACATTGTACAATGATCTCAAAGGATGCTTAAAAGATTTTTCCATAGTTACAGACTGTCCCTGACTCCTGATGACATGTCCTCCCATATAAAAGCTTGCCTTGCTGCTTGGAATTCCAGATTCAGGGCTCATCTTTTCTAATAGCTAATGGTGCTGACGAATACTTAAGAAATCTAACCAGAGACTGAAATGTGGATTTTCTGTGACAATATCTTGTTAATAAAAAAATAATAATAATAATAATAAAAAAATTAAGGAAAAAAAGCTGGAGGTTCACAAACACCCCAAATGACCTGTGCAGATTTGCTGGTTTTAAACAAACATCCCAGCTGTGCAAAAGAAATACATTCCCTCTCAAACTCAGAGGAGGGTGCTTGGACAGAGACAATGATGTCTGTATGCCAAGACATATGAAGAAAACATTATGTGATGTTATTTATTGTAGCAACAGGCCCTGGCAACAGTTAAGACTCTATGGTGATAACGGATAACCAAGCTTCCAAGGAAGAGGCTATGGTATTTCCACTCCCTGGACTTGCAGCAAGCAGAAGCAGATGGTCACAATTTCACCATGGGCTGCAGTATTTCTAATGAGGCTGCTGTCATACAGCTGTCTTCTGAGGAGCTACAGAACAACCAGGAAGCCAAAAGCCAGGTACTGACTTCTTCCCAACAGACTCTGTTTATTAAAAGATGTCCTAGCACAAGTGCACAATGACATATACAATCATAGAATAGTTAAGGTTGGAAAGGACCTTAAGATCATCTAGTTCCAACCCCCCTGCCATGGGCAGGGACATCTCCCACTAAACCATCTCACCCAAGGCTCTGTCCAACCTGGCCTTGAACACCGCCAGGGATGAAGTTTGCAGAGTTGTGTTTAGGCTTGAGCCAACTCACACAGAAGAGACAAGAATATATCTAGGCTCTAGTCCTGCCTTCTTTGGAGGTTTAAAGCTGTTGTTTAGAAGGTGCACACCTTACCAAGCACCAATTTAAAGCTCAGTTTTAAATTTCTAACCAACGATCCACATACAGAAAGCACTTAAAGTACTGAAACAATACTCCAATATTCAACTGGGTTATAGGCACATTTAGGCTTAAGGTCGTTGCTTCCTTTCCAAAATGTTCCAAGAGATCTTTCCTCACCATTGTTATCCACTTGTGACAGAACATGGATAAGTACCAGGAACACTTTTGTCTTCCACTTCACTTTGAACCTGCCAGTTTTATTCTAGATACCACCTCAAATGTTTAGAAGCTCAAGGAGCTTCTCATTTGTTTCTTCCACTTCACTCTGAACCTGCCAGTTTTATTCTAGATACCACCTCAAATGTTTAGAAGCCCAAGGAGCTTCTCATTTGTTTATTCATTTCCTTGTAGACTAAAAATGACAGCATCAGTGGAACAGAGACTATCCCAACACAGGATAGGGCAGCTTGGCCAACGGGCACTTCAAAGGATAGAGCCAGACCTGAAGACCAGACCAGTGAGGGGGACTACCCTGAGGAACTGCCAGAAAGATTTACATCATCTCAGAAAAGCAGCAATGCACAAAGCACAGGTAAACAATAGTTGAATCAGCTCCACAAATGGAGACCTAGGAGGAAATAATCTGGCAACTCTATTGCTACAATCAACACATCCAAAAACAAGTCATACTGCAGCAGCACAAGGACTGAGCTCTTACCACTGGTTTAAAGCCATGCAATAGTAGCAGACAGTATTTCCTAGCTGATGATTATGTTCTGCAGCATGACTCAACCCTACCAGAATAGGCAGCAGGGTAGATACTTTTCTTGGCAGATGCCTGGAACAGACCAAGAGAACAAACTCAGCCTTGCCTCCAGGGGTAGCCCTCTCTAAGTGCGATTACAGCACACTGGGAGGATGCATCGCCCACGCGGGGGCTCTCAGTCTCATGCTACAAGTCAAGTTTTTACAACATAACAGTCAATACAGTGACCCTGACTAGCATCAGGAACAGTAAATAAATACCACGTTTCTCCTTAACTTTGCAACCAAAAGTTGCAGGGCCAATTATCATATAGAGAAAACCATAAAAACTCCAGAAATCATCATGATGATAAGCAAAGGTCTGCTAAGAATTTTTATTTTTATTTTCCCCTTTAGGAACTAGCAAACACTTAAACCCAAACTTCTCTGCCTTAGGATACTGCTGTAGCAAGTATCCTAATGGAAAAGCAGCACTATCTTTGGAACATTTAAACCCTCTAATTTTGTAGTTTAACTCTTTTATTTTTCAAGTGCTAGGAACAGCTTACATTTCACAAACACACTAAATGAAAAATTTACAGTGCTTGTTTACTCTTTGTAATAAACAAGGGTTGTAATAAAATATTTCAAATTAAACACAAAAACAACAATTACTCATGTTTGCTATTCATTAAAGAGGACTTAACTCCCAATGCCACAGAAGGACATGATGAAAGGATTTCATTTCATATTGAGCAGTTATTTACTTGCTCTGAAATGGTGTTTCATCTAATTTCAAGCTCCTTTTCCTCCCACTTGCTAAAAGGATAACTTCACAGGAGATTTCTAAACAGAAAAAGTTTTTGAAATCATGCTTCAATCTTCTGTTTCAAGAGAAAACCAAAACCTATATCATATCAAGCTATTGCAAATAATTTTTTCTGCTGGATTAATAGACTAGTAAACCAGTACAAATTCACATCACTTGTCAATGTTGCCCACTCATCATGCTTTTATTTTTTTTTTTGCCAAGCTATGTTTTGCTGTATACTGGCTTCTGACATTTAAGTCTTCTGACTGACAGCTGAACCCTAGTGTGTTTTTAGTGACTGTCTCAGTTGTTTTAGGACAGATAATGGAGTCAGCTTCTACAAGGTGGTAGATGTTATGTATTTTGTTTTACAACTAAAATATAAGCCAACATTGTCATATTCACTCTGCTTACAAAGAGTGGCAGATGTCAAATAACTGCAATTTTGATTCAGTCCAAGCATTCTTCATACAAAAGCTCTAACTTCTGTCAATAGAGGTTGGGCAGATGGTAGAACTGTCAACTGAGGGTTGAAAAACCTGATGGGTCTTGGCAATAAAGTTGTTCTTTGTTTATTCATGCCTAATATGTGGAAATTAAACAGCAACTCAGAAGGGTTATCAAAATAATTTGATTTTTAGTCTCAAAAACTGTTTATAAATATATAATTAAGTGTTGGAATGCTTATGGTCAGACGCAAATGTAGTAATGCTATAACAAAAAACAAACCACAAAAGCATATGAAAATTTGGGTTCATTTAACAGAACGATCATAGTGATCTTTACAAGATGGCCCTTTAGTAGCTTGTGCTATTCCATCTCAGCCTGGCTTTCTCTGACAAGATCACAGAACCCTTGAGAACTTGAACTGTAAAGACCTCCCTACATGGAGCTCCCACATCCTCTGTGGGAACATCTTCAAAAATTGACTTCACAGGCCTTCAGCATATGCTTCCCTATTTCCTGAATATGCCCCTCTGGGTGTAATAGACTAGAGTGAGAAAATGAACTAGGTGCCTGCACCATTCTTCAAGCCACTAAAAAGCTTACTGCAAATTTTAAGCAGTGAAGAGAGCCTTGAGCAAGCCTTCTCCACTGGACATTCTCAGTGTGTAGCCTCTTAAATAAAAACTCTGGCATTGGAAACACATCACAAAGCTCTGTTTGAATGCCAGGTGCTCTACAAGTTTTAAGGTTTCCATCTTTTAAAGATGCATTGTCCATCAGTGAGTTCATCAGTAAATCATGGCTCTTACAGGAAACAGAGAGGCAAAAACCATCATTCTTGAAGATGTGAGGATGCAGGGAATAATCAAGACCCAAAGTACCACTGCCAGGACTGGAGAAGTGTAAGAAAACAAGGTAAATGTCACTATATGGGACAGGACCCCTGTTACAGCTCTGACCCTGCTGTGAGCACCCCAAGATTCAGTTTCTGAACATGCAGAGCATCCAAGCATATCCCCTCTAAGACTAGAAGCAAGTTGTTACACAGAGAACTGTGTTATGGGGACACTAATACAAAAGAAGCTGGCAGCAGTTTTCAGTTGTTTACAGCTCCTGGGCTTGTTTCAAATGGGGACAAAGGAGGCAGCAACAGTACTAAAAACTTGCTCTTTTAAAAGCTCACTGGAAGTTGCATGCCACAAACTTAGAAACAAGTCCATGAAACAAGAAGAAATACTGTTGTTAGCTTATAATGAAACTTAAAACCTAAGACCTCAGAAATCCTAAGTATTCGCACTTCTGAGAAATCTACAATTCACATTTAATCTCAGACTAAAAAAATACAAAATGGATTTAAAAAAAAATTACAGAACTAGTGTTTGAGAAAGAAGATACTCTCCATCTTCTTTTAATTCTGAATGATAACCTGAGGCTTAGTTTGTCTTCCAAACTCAAGGTTATTCTTTTGTTGTGAAGCGTTATGTTATGATCAGATGTCTCTTCCAGATAGGAATTTGAGGGAGGGAGAAGGTCTGCAGGGAGTGTGTAAGAAGTTCAACACATTTATGGATATGTTGTCCAAAGCATGTCCAAAGCATGACCACTGCTTGAACACAAGAACAACTCAAGCGTAAACCAAGGACAATTTTTGGTAGCTTTGTCACTTGAGATAAGCCATTCACACATCTCTAACCTCAGCCACTTACATTACTGAAGATTAAACAGAAAAATTTGTATGAAGGGCTAAACAAGCAAGTGCCACCTTACAGTCTGACCACTGGTGCTGCATGATACATTTCCAGCACTTTGGAAAATGGGGATTGAGGGTCTGCGAGTACCGCTTTTCCACAGCTTTAACTTACTTCCCTCTGACAGATTTTTGATATCTGAGAGGATTATCTCCTTCGTGGCTAAATTTAGGTAACATACTGCAGGCACGGTTTTGTATCTTTCCCCCTTCATAAAATAGGCAAGTATCTGTTCTTTTTTTTTCCTCCTGTATTAAAAAAGCTGTCTGGTATTAAATTACACATACTCTTTTATTGACAGAAACTCAGTCTGTGCTATTTCTCCTTGGAGAATTTCCATCTTCCCAGTATGAGGAAGGCACTTCTTTTTTTCCCCTTTTTAAAATCAGTACAGCCTTTAAAAATGAACCTCATACTTTTCACTAACAAAGGCAACTTTTCGAAGTGGTATTTTACATTTGAGCTGGGCCTGCTTCTGGGTAACCTACAAGTGAAAACTTAAATCTGTCACTAGCTGTTAACTATTAGGTCTACCTTAGTAGCTATAGAAAACTTGGCCTGTGCTACCTCCTGTAAGAATAGTTTATTCCATTAGAGCTCAAATCCAGCAGATTAACTATGAATAGAGAGACTAAACTGAACACAGACACACTAGAAAAGATTTATCACCCAGACATATTCCAAATTACAACACGCAGCTCTGGATTTTGGGCATTAACGCATGCGTAAATTCACATCTGAAATTTTGGAATTGACCAGGAATAGGCATGAATAGCTTTATTCTAAACTCTGGTCTAGCACTAACTTCAATGAAGAAATGAGCTCACAGACGTCACATCACCATGAAAGGCAAGTACAACCAAGTTTGAGATTATTTTTACAATAATATTTCAGACAGATATCCGCACAAGAGCTTTCCTTTCATGAGTATAGCTCTGTCTGTATAAGTATCTGCACCCCTTAAGCCATGACAGCATTACCTGTCTTCCCTGGATTTCCTGCCATTGTCAACACTGTGAAACAGCTATGCTGGAGGCCTTTAGTCTTCTGACCATCCCTCACTTTTCACTGAAAAAGTGGACTCCTAGCAGTACATGTTAAGATACCTTGCTATACCTGCTTCCAAGTGTTACTGCCTTAAAGAAGCAGTACTTTTCAGAACAACATTTTATGGTTCTAGCATAATAAAGCTAAGGAAGAGCCATACATACCACAGGATAAACCATCCCCTCCAATTTTAACAGTGGCCCTTACTACAAATGCCAGCAAAGCCAGAGCTTCCACCTAAGATTACATAGAATCACGGAAGATCTCAAGTTGGGAGGGACCCATAAGGATTATCAAGTCCAGCTCCCTGCTCCTCAGAGGGCTACCTAAAACTAAACCACATGACTAAAAGCATCATTCAGATGCTCCTTGAACTCTGACAGGCTTGGTGCCATGACTGTTTCCCTGAGGAGTCTGTTCCAGTGAGTGATGTCTCAGTGAAGAATTGTTTCCAAATGTCCAAAATATCATAACTGATGTTAAATATGAAAGTGTTTAATCCTCACCCCTCAAGAGTTACATTGAGCTCTTGAGGGTGCTTATTTAATTAATAAACACCCCTACTCCCAAGAAGTGGCAGGAGTTGAATTATAGGGAGCACTGAACACTTCAGTTCACTAGTGAACCAGCAGCTATAGTGTATCTGCGGGTACCTATTTTCAAAGCCTGGCTTTAAAGGCACTCATATGTGTGCAAGGGCAAGCGAAAGGACCAAAACCTGTAGTTTTAAACTGTCTATGGGAATTTTATCCACTTCCGAGTTATCATTTACAAGGGATGCACACAGATTATTATTTTAGCATTTCTATTGCTGTCAACTTTCAGTGTGGGTTCGTCAAAGCTATGAGGACTCCTGACCTCCAAAAATTGTTTAGCTCAAAGGTAAGTTCTTTTCTCAGTTTATATAGACAAAGAACAACCTGGAAAGCAACCTGCTTGCTGAATATTCTCTTTAGTTTGGACATATTGGGAAGAATCTTCCATTAATCTCTTCTCATGCAGTCCACAGTTTATCTTGAATAAGGAATGACATGCTCAGTACGCAACACCTCTCCACTTCAGGCTTTCGCTAGAATGGCCTTTGTCATTAGATAGACGAGTTTTTCTTTCTTTTTCCCCTACTGAAAAAGTCTTTTGTTTCATTTTTATGATGACTGAACATTGCTTTGTTCAGATTTTTGTGTCATCTGCATTCAAAACGTCTCCTTTGTATATCAGTTTTCTTCTTACTGATTCATGCTCCACCTTCATCTCACTAAATGAGTCATCTTCTATACTATTTGCAGCACTTAACACTGCTGGCAGTGAGGCCTGACTTCTAGAGTTATTTATGGCAATAAAAGTCTGGAGAGGAGATAACTCAGGAAACTTGTAACAGGATAGGGATTATTTCAACCCTAGGTCTTTGGTGTGGGTTTATCACTGCTAAAACGGTTTATCATACAGAAACCGGTAGAATTCAGCCTCCTGGCTGATCACCACATCTTTCCAGGAGTAAGTTCTACCCTCAGCAGCAGAGCTCTAAGACTCAGCTGCTAACTTGTATGCAGCAGAGGCCAGCAGTATTATGGTTACAAAGCCCTAACAAAACCATTCTTAGATCTCTCCAGTAGTAAAAGTAACTTCCCTAAATACTTTCGGCTTCATTACCAAATCCCCACATCTGCTGGGTGTACAGCAACACTGCAAGCATACAGACAGATCTCTCAGCAGAACAGGAGAATTCTCAGTGTAGCCAACGCTCACTCACAGAAAGCACTCAGGCTATTAGCACTTCATTATTTCTAGGCTTTCCTTGGTAGTCCATCACCTCCAAGTATAAAAAAAAAAAAAAAAAGCAGAAGGCAATCAGCAAAGTGCTACCCCAACATCAAAATATACTTTGCTGAAAGCTTTTAATATCTGTACAGAGACACCTGGAAAAGACACTGAAGAAACCACCAGCTAGGCTGGAAAAAAAAAATCATTTGGAAACAAGGAAGTAGGTGATTCTACAATGAAGGACATGAAAATTCTGCTGAAAGCAAGATAAAAAAATCCAGGTCATTAGTTCTGCTGTGTATTATCCACTACTCACTTTATCACCAAACCCCTCTATTTTCTATAAATCAAGCAAATGCAGGCAGTTAATAAACAACCTGCTACCAAAACCTAATTAGTGACAACACAGTGGGTCCTACATTCGTCTCCAAGATGTTAGAGGTCCACGTTTATTTTTGCTGAAAGCCTGAGATATTACTCTAAACATATGCATAAGAGGCAATTTCTGGGTAAGTCTTGTTTTCCCTATAGCAAAAGATGCATCTTCCACAGATGCCAGTGTAAATTGACTAAATTCAGTGCTGACTGGAATAACATCCTGATCACATTTGGGTAGAAAGACAGAAAGAACTGCTGCATGTGTTTGACACATACCTACTTCCCTCATTACACAGCATCGCTGGTTTTGTTGTTTTCTTCTAGGCTAGGGAAGAGCAATTGAAGAAAATGCCACACGACATCACATATTTTTGCAGTAACTGCCCACCAAACTACAGGGAAACAGACTGAAACTGACTGCCCAAGTTTCAAAAGTCAAGGAAATACAGACATCCCCCTCAGCCCTCACCTTTAGATGGTAAACCAGGGATACTGCTGAAGGAAACAATTGCAGTAGAAGCCACAAACAATTATACCGAGAACTCTGTCATTGTGTCTGATAACTTACAGCTGCATCGATGAAAGAATTTGGATCTAAGCTGTCTTGCAAAAATGAAGAAATCCCCTGCTCCCTGCAGCTGTCTTTATTGGAGTGTAAGTGATTTACCATGAGGCACAGCTGAGTCTCACTGCTACCTGTATCACCTGGAAAAACTGTATCAAGCCTTAATTACTGCAGACCAATTGAAAGTAAAAGAACAAATGAGTCAGGAAGAAGCAAATTAGTAACTAGTCAGTCACTAAGTTTGAGCACATACAAGTTATCATGATTCTATCAGATTTATTATTATTATTATTATTAGATTTAGCTCAATTCTTGGATGGCTCCATGAAAATATTCCCTTCCCCTAGGGAACAGGGGGGGTTGGAAAGACACATGGGAAGACACAAAACAAGGAGTGTATAAAGGAGAAAGGGGTGACCATCAGGCCTTTGGACCAGTAGAACATGATGAGACCCTAAGAATAAGAACAAAGACTAACTTATCATGCCAAGCCAAGTGGCAAAGAGGTGACAGCTTCATGTAATAAGGTGACAACAGGCCCCAAGAACATCTATTTCATAAGCATTGGGCATAAAAAGGAAGGATAGAACAAGTACTGAAATTACAGTGAAGAAAATAGCTAATGGGCTGAGATATACAAAGCACAGAGGAATTGTCCACAAGGAAGGAGATAGCTGCTTCTATTGCAGAGTGATGTGTTTGGCCAGTCTTTTGATTTTGGAATCCCCAAAGCCCTACCTCCAGTGTGCACACAACCTTTACTACAGCCAGCTCTTCAACAGGCAAAGCAATTGTGCCATTCTCACTCTCCCTGCTACTGGCCCTGCCACCCGCTTCTGGTCCATCCCTAAACACATCCATCACCACTTCCATTTGGACTACTGCTTCTACCCACTGCCCACCCTCATCAATCCAATGCCACACTCACCTCTGGTCCTACCCTGGCTTTTTATTTTCTTATCTCCAGCTACAAGTGACACATTGTTCCTTTCCACCTTCCAAGCCAAGTAAACTCAGTGGCAGCATAGGACCACTATTCTTTTAAATCACAGACCAAATACTACAAAACAGATGAAAAAGAAGCCCTTATTTTTACAGTCTCATAGTAACTTTCCCTATCACTTCAAGAAGAAAAAAGTTTTCCTGATTTTTTTTATTTTGCCAGATTTGTACTAAATCACTAAGGAGAGGAGCAAGAGCTCATTTCATTTCCTGAGCAGCTGGGATCCCACTTGAGGACCTGAATAAGGCAGTCCACCAGGAAGAGCCTCTTCTACATCAGCTCCAGGCCTAGCCAGAACAGCAGGTTTTGTGGGAAGGAGAAAGACCCACAGGAAAAAGATTAAAAAAAAATAAAATATATGAAATGGAGAAACCTTACTCAGCTAATTCAAAATTATCCACAACCTGACATTCTCACACCACAGTTAACCCAGGCCGTTCACTAATTTTGGCCTGTTAGGTACTCCAAGCCAAGGCTACCTGGCCAGGCTTGGAATACAAGCTGGGGGGTGTGTATGCATACAGACTGTTCCACCAAGTTAGAGTAATTGGGCAGCCCTTGCAGTGAAGTTACTCAAGTGCTAATAGCCTCCCAGTGTCTTCCCACAGTTTCAGAAGGACAAACGACAGTCTGTCTTCAGCAAATGCCATTTCTTCCACTATTTCCTGGGTGAGGAATTTAGCTCCCTGAACAACAAAACCCAGTGAGATCCTACATTACAGAAAGAGGAGCACAGCATCAGGCAAGGTGCCTTTTTGTAATACGAACACTCATGTGCTTTCTTCTGTCTGGCTCATCAATGTCTCAGATGTAATTGTTAGTCTCTCAAATCAAGTTTGCAGCAAAGATACCCTGAAAAAAGCAAGAAACGAGGGCCTTTGCAAATGGCATTACTAATTGCAGTCTACTTAGAAAAACTTCCTAGAATCAAAGATTTGAGATGAAGCTGTGGCACTGCATAGTTCAAATTCTGAGCTGAAAAGTCATGCTGTTTACCTTGTCAGCTCTACCCTGGGAGGACACAGCCTTGTTTCAGAAGTGAAACACTCAATTCTGCCTCCTGAACATATCTGAGAGTTTAAACCCAGAGCAGGTGTTTTTCCATGTCCACCTCAGGGGGTAGGGTGGGTATGAAAGGGAGGTAGCCTGGTATAGGCTTTGTCAAGGGATTGTTAAGTTGTCTGGCTGACCCTGTTAGACCAGCAGGAATAATTCTGAGTCTTTCTAGGATGCCTGTTGGAAGAGGCTGAACACTGTATAAGCAGTGGAAGTCAATCTCAGGAAAAATGCATGGGTTTTATCTTATACAATGTTCACAACAACTTTAATTATTGCCTCTGTTAGGAGGATCTGCTGAAACCCACAATTTCATGGGCTTTGGCACAATAAGTTTCTGGAGCCTTTTCCTGCACTAGAAGATACAAACTCATGGTTAGGCACACAGATTAAATCTTTCCTGAACTTGGAAATAATTTAAAAATAAAGATCAGATCTCTCTGCTGAGTTAACTAATGTCTGTATTACTAACAAGAGAAGCAATTAAAGCCTGCATTACTGAATTGTCTATTTGTCTGAACACTGATCTAAGCCTCACTGAAAACTGTCCATGTCTTTCTACTGTCTTCAGTGGATGCTGGCCTTGTCTCTTGATGTATAAGAGAATGGCAAAGTAGGGAGAACAAAACTATGTTTCCAAGCAAAGGAACAACCTGCTCTTTTGACAGAGTTCAGAGGAACAGTATGAAATTACACTGTGATATAGGCGACCAGTGCAAGGCTCCTAGCCATGGCTAACTGCTTGTACAAAAAGCAGGGCAGCAAAGTAGGTGTCTGCTTTCAAAAAGCCTTCAAGTATTTAATGTTATTCTGTTTGATTGCTGGGTCTCTTACCACAGTTCAGCAGTGCCAGTGACCAAACTCTACTGACTTGTATCACAGCCACATTTGCACTAATCCCTGTCCCTTGACAGATCTGAAAAAGGCATCAGGTAGGCAGTAGTAGGAGCTGCCAGCACCATAGCAACTATGTAAGGGAGCACTAAGCTCCCACCTGCTTTCTGCTTGCTATGAATGGAGGGAAAGGTACACACAAGCCTCCTCAAACACTTAGAACCATCATGGACCTATTTCCATAGGAGTGGTTTGTCTGAATTTGCTCCTTGGAGTTTTGCCAGGGGGCAGCCACTTTCTGAAACTGAATTTGAACTGGCTGAGCAACCAGGTGAACAGAGCCAAAGCTACAGCCATTTGAGTGTGACAAGCATTGGGATCACTGCTGCTCAGGTTATCTGCAAGCTAGAGGATTCCTACCTTTGTCATTCAGGGACTTCTCATCCTTTGCTCTAAACCCCAGGGAAGTGGCCACAGCACCAAACCTGTCAGAGTTCAAGGAATGTCTGCACGATGCTCTTCATCATATGGCTTAGTTGTAGGCAGTCCTGCAAGGAGCAGGGAGTTGACTCGATGATCATTACGAGTCCCTTCCAATTTGAGGTAATTCTATGATTTGATGCCTTTGTGAGAGGCTGTGAGCCCTCGCCTCAGGTAATATGTGGGGTGAGGCCTTTTGAAGCCTCCTGCTCACATGATTAAGAAATGGTCAGTGTACAATGCTATAACACCTAGTTGAACTCTGCTGAGCTTGGGGCTCTCTGCAACTTGCCTGCTGCTCCTGCCTTTCCCTGCCACAGGGATTTTCTCTGGTGTTTTACCAGAGTTCCAGCATGAAACATGCAAGGCCTGTGTACTGCCACTCATTCTGGTGAGCCATTATACACAGGTTGGTGGCCTCACCAGGCCCCATCTCTCTCGGGTGCAATTCATTCAGCTATTCCCAGGCACAGCTTCTCCATCCTCAATCCCCCGAGCCCCAGGCTCTTCCTGGTCCCGCAGGGCACCTCCTCTCTCGCCTGCCGGGTGTAGCTCCGGGCAGCCGGCAATCCCTGGCAGACACCCCCGACCTGCCGCAGCAGCGGCCGAGCGCAGTCCTGGCCCGGGAGCAGCAGCGAGCTCTGGGCCCGGCCTCGGCTGACCCTTCCCCTTCACCCAGCAGGTGTCACCCTGCCCCGAGGGACGCACTGCTCCATCCCCCCGGCCTCGGGCTCCTCCCGGGTTCTCCTCAGGCTTCCTCTTCAGGTCTTCCCCCCCAGGTACCCCCGGGCCGTGGCGGGGGTCACCGGCCGCTCCAGGCTCCAGGGGTTGGGCCGCAAGCTCCGGCTCTCCTGCTCCGACACTGCCGGGAGGGGTGGGGGTGAAGTGTTTATTTCCGCCCATGTATTTCCAGGAGTTTTTAAACTGGAAGGGAGAATATACCGTGCATGCAATATTTATGTCATCGTCTCTTTAGTGACAGTTTCCTAAGATACTTAGCTAAAAGCAAGATGAGAACAACTATTCGTTCATGCTGTCACTAGGAAGAAAACAAGGGGAAAAAAATAGAGTTCCAGGAACACAGACAAGTTAAAGAGAAGGAAGATTATTGTCGTGGTTTAAACCCAGGCAGGTAACTCGTTCACTTACTCCCCCCTTTCTTTCCCTCCCCCTACTCCCGGAGGGATGGAGAGGAGAATCGAAAAGAATGCAACTCCCACGGGTTGAGATAAGAACAGTTTAGTAACTAAGGTATAACACAAATCACTACTGCTACCACCAATGATAATAATGATAAAGGAAATAACAAGGGAAGAGAATACATCACCTCACCACCAGCCAACCGATAACTCGCCCCCCCCCAGCCCGACCAAGCACTGACCGGTACCTCCTCCAACCCTGCAGTCTCCCAGCCCTTCTGGGTAACTCCCAGTTACATCCTGGGCATGACGTGCTGTGGTATGGAATACCTCTTTGGTCAGTTTGGGTCAGGTGTCCTGTCTCTGCTTCCTCCCGGCTTCCCCTCCTCCCTGGCAGAGCATGAGGCTCACAAAGTCCTTGGCCAAACCAAAACATCATTGTTATCAGCACTGTTCCCAGGCTGAAAGTCAAAACACTGCACTGCACCAGCTACCAAGGAGGAGAAACATGACTGCTACTG